TTAAGTGCTCTCTTAGAGGGTTTGTTCAAACAGGCTGCATGGCCCACCCCCACCGTATGAACCCACAGGTCTGGTTTGGGCCAGGAGTTTAAGTTTCTCACTGGTTCCCAGGCGATACTGATGCTGCTGGTCTGGGGACTACACTGAGACCAGTGTGCCAGACCAGTGTGCTGGTCTGGCCCACCCGCCACACTGAGAATCACTGTTTTAGAGGCTTCTTGTAGGAAGTGCATGAGGGCAGATGGGGTGAATAGACCAGGTGAATGCTGGGTTAGATCCTGACATTAAATAGCACATCACCTGCCTTGCCTGGGCCTCTGCGTGTCTCTCTGTAAGATGAGGGCCCTGGGCTCCCATCAGCTCTATGAGGACTGGGGAGGCAGCACTGCCATTGCCACCTTCACTTTGGATTTCGGGGCAGCTTTGTGTGCCCGAGTGGGAACGTGTCTGTGTGGCTCTAAGATGCTAGTAACTGGAAGTGAGGTCTGCCCGCCCACTGGTGAGACTGGCCATGTGCCAGGCCTCCTCCAGCCCCTTCCTGTGCTACCTCGTCTCCTAGCAACCGTGAGAGGCGGGGCTTTCACCACCCCCATCTCACAGATGAGCAAGCAGAGGGGAGAAGCCAAGTGACCTGTTCAAGGTTTCCAGGTGGTGGGTGGGGCACAGGGGGTCAGAAAAGCAGGAGGTTCCTGGGGGAGGCATAACAGCAGTGCCCTCCCGCCTCTGGTCTGGGTCCAGGGCTGCTCAGCCCCGTGAGGCAGGCATCTAAGCAGCTCTCTGTGGGGGGCCACCCTGTGCATGGTGTGTGTGAGTGGTGTCCCTGGCCTCTCGCCTTCCCCAGATTGTGCCATTTGCCCTGGGGGAGACCCCCTTTCCCCTGGGCTCCAGCCACGGCTTTCCCAGGTTTGCTGCAGCCGCCCCGCCTCTCCCGGGTTCTCTCCTTCCTTTGCTCCTGAGGCCTAACCTCTGTTTTCACTGTGTTTTACAGAGTGCTAGTAACATTTGAAATTAAAATCAAAGTAGTGACAGAGATTTGGGAGCTAGAGCTAAGAGTTACACATCCAGACTCTGTTGTGATATGCACCCGTGAGAGCTGGTGGTGCTGGCGTTTCGTCTCTCTGACTCCCAGCCCTGATCCAGCAAGCCTTCCAGTGTGTGGGCAAGGATTCATGTGCCCTGCTGCCACGTTTGCTGTCTTCCTGACCCTGGTTCCCATGTTGGGACGTGTCCCTGCCTGGTCTGAATACTGACTGCGCTGAGGCAGAGGCTCTGGAAGTCAGGGTGCCCACAGGCTGGCAGGGCTGAGGGCCTTGGTGCCACCCAGGGGTCTCCCACTCACTGTCCAAGTCACCCCTGAACACGGGAAATTGCTCTCAAGTGTTACTGGCAACATCAAACCCACTGAGCATGTAACAGTGGGACTTGCGAGGCCACACGGATAGGGGAGTGAGACCAGGGCTGACCTCCAGTTTTCATTCCCAAACCTGTCCTGCCAGCCAGGGATGAAAGGACATGTGTGTGTTCACTGAGCATGTCCCATGTGCCTGTCACAGGCCTGTTGGAGCCTCGGCCTGGACCTGCCCACCGCGAGGCTGGCGTTGTGCCTGGCGTCGGGGGAGCCAGGGGTCTGGCTCAGCCTCTGAGCCCTTCCTCCTGTCTTGGCTCCCTCCCCCTGCTTTGCCCTTTGGCAGCATTCTGCACAGCCGCTGGGGGCCTCGGCTTGGGCACGGAGCGGGTGTCCTGGCCGGTGGGTGCTCTGGCCCCACTGCCCCTCAGCCACTTCCAGGAGAGGGGCTCCCTGGACCGCCATAAACCGTGCTGGAGCTGACCAACCAGGGAACGTGGCCTCCCAGGACTGACCTGGCCAGTGCCCACTAGTCCTTGGTGGCAGAGGGGAGAGTGGTTGCGTGTCACCGCACTAGTGTGCAGTGATCCCACTCCTCATGTCTGCCCTCGGCTCGCTGGGCAGGTGGAGGGCAGTAGAGGTTTCTCCTGGCTCAGGTCTCACCAGGGCTTTTTTTTTTTTTGGCGGTACGCGGGCCTCTCACTGTTGCGGCCTCTCCCATTGCGGAGCACAGGCTCCGGATGTGCAGGCTCAGCAGCCATGGCTCACGGGCCCAGCCACTCCGCGGCATGTGGGATCTTCCCTGACCGGGGCAGGAACCCGTGTTCTCTGCATCGGCAGGCGGACTCTCAACCACTGCGCCACCAGGGAAGCCCCATCACCAGGGCATTTTAAAAGCAAGGCCTGGTATTTACAGACCCGTGCCCGTTGATCTCTAGAGTCCCGGGGCTCTGTGTGTTTGTGTGTGTGCAGGTGTGGGTGGTTGGCGACGGCGGGGGTTCCTCCTTAGGAACTGCCTCAGTGCTTGGTGCTGGCCCGGAACAGTTGCTCTAGACATAAGGGTTGATTTCCCCGCCCCCACCTGCCTGGAAAGGAGTGGGGGTGTGAATGTCAGTTACTCAGGGTGAACCTGTCTTCAGCCTTTTGTCCATTGGGAAGGGAAACGAAAAAGCTCAGATCCAGGTTGACCTGATGCTGGGAAGGTTTTTGCGTTATTCTGATCTAACAGAGGCTGGAGCTTGGCTCTGCCCCTTACTGCCATCTCCCCGGAGCAGCATTTTAATTCCCTGTCTGTAAAATGGAGACACTCATAACAGTGGTGGTCTCTCAAGGCTGTGGCGAGGCATAAAGCGCAGGGTTTCTAAGTGTCAGCTGTCCTGTCACCTCATCAGGACCTTCCCTGTCCCTGCGAGCTGACCCCGTGTCTGGGTTTCCCAGGGGAACGGAGGTAGAGTCTGCAGTTCGGCCCACCTGTGAGCTGAGAGCGCCCGCGTGTCTGCCCTGGGAGATGTCACCACCTCTTACCTTTAAAGTAGATGCAGTTCAGGAGCATCATCTGAGTCGCGGGGTCCACGTCCTCTAGCACGTCTCTTATGAGACCCTTGGTGAGACGCGAGATGTGCTGGTTGGTTTGGGAGATGAAGGCGGGATCAGAGAAGTCAGCCACCCGGACCTCGGCAAAGTAGTACTGTCGGACCTTGGCTCTGAAGTCGTCCAGGACTGGAACTTGCTTCTGAATGTACAGGTCGCTGACAGACCGCAGCGTGTACCCGAAATTCCTCCGGAAGAGGCGGTGGGTCAGCTTCCGGAACAGGTTGTGGACGGTGCCCAGCTCGTATGTGGTGCTGGCGTTGACGAAGTCGGTGAAGCGCAGGGCAGCGTGTACCTGCTCGTGGGTGTCCCCCCGCAGGCCCAGGGAGAGCATGGCCATGGCTGCGGACACACCTATGGGCGCCAGGAAGACATTGTCCGAGACACCGACCCGCTCCTTCAGCGCCCGGTAGAGGTCTAAGGCGAACTTGGCGTTGAGGAGGTTGAGCCGCTGGATGCGGCTCTTGCCCGGGAAGAGCTGGAGCACGCTGCCGGCACCAGTCCCAGGGTCCACGGGCGAGACCGCGTCCACGACGTCGATGTAGTCGTCATCCTCCCCGAAGATCTTCTCCAGGTCCAGGTAGTCCTCGTCCTCTTCCCCGTCCACGATCCACTCGTTGGTGACTGTGTTCTCCTTGTGGAAGTCGGCAGGCAGGAGGGGTCTGCTCAGGTTTCCACTCTTCAGCTGCCCCCACTGGGGGTCCGCAGACTCGGGGTCTCCCCCTCTGCTATCAAGCTGACCCTGAGGGCCGAGGTTCCCACACACGGATGCCAGGAGGAGGGACACCACGAGAGAGTGCAGCAGGCGCTGCATTCTGGCAGAGCTGGAGCTGGAGGGAGAGCAGGAGGTGGTGAGGGCAGCCTGGCAGACTGCCCCCTCCCCGCCCCACACACTCACACACACACCTCTGCAGGCCCCTGGCCACAACCCAGGGGGGCCCCAGGGGTGCCAGTCTCTAACCATTTTAGGATCTGCTGAAGATAAAACAGACGCCTGACATTTTATGTGGCTTCATGAACCTCCTGGAGGACCCCTGGGCCCAGATCAGAACCCCTTGTTGAAAGTGTGCAAAACCATAGGGCTCAGGGGCCCCAGGGAGTTTCCTTTCCATTCATTCACTGAACTTTGTGTCCCTTCCTCAAATGACATATTGGGTGGGCCCTGGAGGCACACAGGTCCCCCAGCTGGATGGGGGCCCATGTGTAGTAAAACACGGTTCACAAGGGCACTGCCAGGTGGGGGGCAGGGGGGGTGCCAGGCAGGCTGAGGCTCCGCCTCCTGTGCTAGCAGTTATTTGGGGTGGTTTAATCTGTGTGATTTGGACTGTGTCTGCAGTGCAGAGGTCACCTGGGGGCCCAGTGGGCATGGTGGGTGCCGGTCTTCCTGCAGCCATGGGGGATGAGGGTACAGCTCGCTGCAGGTGTACGTTTTCTCGTTGTGTCTGTCAGTCGGCTCCCACTGCTGTCAGGAGGGACCAGAGCTCTCCCACTGAAGTGTTTCTGGCTGGGGTTACAAATAGTCTCACCAGGTGTATAGGGTCTAGGCGAGGGTGCTGTCAGAAAGCTCTTACTGAAGGCCTGAGGGATGCTCCCTCTATTTAAGTAAACAAGGCACGTTTTTAACAGATACTGTGGGATGAGCCATCTGTCTCCCATTCCTCCCTCTGTCACGTCCTTTTGGCTGCCAGACGGCTTTGTCCTTCTCTTGCTTCCTTCCTGGTTGTGAATTGCATCCTGGGAAATGAGCCATTATTCGATGCTTCTCTGTCTCCAGGACAGTGACAGCAGGTGTTTATGCTGCTGCTCAGTCATGCAGGATCCCAGCATCCCTTCTAATCACCTCAGAAAGAGGAGAGTGTCTTGTCAGGTTTGTCATGTGTGTGACCATCTGGTACATTTTTGAGGACCAGAATGTCTGCTTCCCCTCCAGGCCAGGTAAGAATCACTGGTTCCTGTTAGGTAAATATCAGGACTTGTTAGGCCTGAAGATGGTGTGCTGGCAATGGTAGTGACTCTGAGCGGAGCCTCTTCTGGGTGCCGGTGCTGGACCAGGGGCTTTGGTGACTCAGCTCCCTGCGCAGAGCATTGTGCGTATCGGGGGTGCTGAGCCTGCCTGAGTGTGCCAGTGGCTAGATTAGACCCAGGTTAGTGGAGCCCTTCCCTGTGTCCAGGGCTCTGCCCGTTCGGCCTGGAGTGCCAGCACCGTTGTCCCTGCCCCAGTCCCCACCTCGGCTCTTCCCTGCAGCACTCTTAACACAGTCAGCTTGCACACTCCTCTAATCACGACGTTTTGGAGAGGGAAAGTCACATGGTTTCTGACTTGGAACTGTCTGTTGTCTTTTCCTGTTCCCTTCCTTCCCTCCAGCCTGTAGCCGAGGCTGCCACACACGTTGCCTGCACTCAGGACACAGTGTCTAATGTATGTGGCTGCCGGCAGAACTGGGCCCAGGTTCTGGGTAGAATTGGGCATGGGTATTGATGGCAAGACACTGAAAAAGTGAGAAAAGAAGAGGTCTTCTTGCTAGGCTACACTTGAAAGTATCCTTCTTAGGTTAAAATAAGCTTAAAAAAACCCAACTTGAATAAACAAGAGTTCAGGCAAAGGAATCTGAGACCAGATAGGGAGGCAGAGGTTGAAAACATTCGTGTCTTTTTGCTCCTGTATTCAGATAGTACGTGTAGAAGCTTCATGTACTTGCTTCTTCCTATTCCTGTATTACACGATGAAAAGCCCAAAACACTTTGCATTATGCTCTCATCAGAGGAAGCAGAAGGTATCTCATAATATATCTCATTTTATGTGGTAAAAAATTAGGTACCTGAAAGGTAAATCTTCCTGTTGTTTTGCCATTTAGTATCACAAGAGTTAAAGAAGATACTTTAAAATTATCACTAGGTTGTGTTTAAATCCAGATTACTATCTTGGAAGAGAAGCAGTATTTTTTAAAGGGAAATCATTCAAAAGTTTGTTTTTATGGGCATTTCCTATGGCGCCTTCTCAGGCTGGTTGCGTGGTGCGGGGCTGGGCTTTGTGGTCCCTCGTCCCTCCTGGCTGCTGTCTCCCGGCCCAGACGTAGAGGGGGTAATGGAGCTGTGGACAGTCTTCAGGTTGAAATAACTTCAGGCTCACAAACGAGTTGAAAGCACAGCACAGAGAATACCCACCCTGTACCCGCGTCTCCAGACTCGCCAGGTCTCTCTACGTACATGTGTGTGCGCATGTGTGACACACGTCATTTTTCTGAACCATTTGTGATGCCCCAGAACTAGGGTGCCCGCCCACAGCCCCCAGCACCATTCCCAGTTCAGGTCCTTAACCTAGCGCAGTCCCTCCTCCCCGGTTGGCTGACAGTCCCACTAGCGTAACTGACAGAATGTTATAATAGGCAGCTTAACAAAACCTCTAACCCTTTCTAAGACGGTGTAGAGAGCGTTTGAATGTAGTTGGATAGGGAAGCAAACCAGTTACCCATCTCTAACCACCTCAAATAAAAATTCATAATCGGCAGAAATGTTAGAAACCTACTCACCTCTGTGCTGCTGAGAACTGGCTTTGCAGGGGCAGAATCGGCCAAAGTCACCAGCAGGCTTCAGTGTGACCTTTGGTGCCGGACTGCTGTCGTGTTTTCCAAAGTAAATACATCCCAGATCAAACACCGCTCAACTAGCTTTGTCAGCATGAAGCCCTCGTTGTGTCTTTGGTTACCACCGAGTGGCTTGTGACTCCCAGTGTTTGGAGGCCTGTCTCTGTGTGGATGAGCTTACGGGAGCAGCCAGGACACTCTGCGGCCCAGGTCTTGGTTGCATCGGGGGCGGCGGCTCTGATGCTCCCCTGGACATGGGAGGGCCCCTCTCGTGTCTTCCAGCTCCGAGTTCTTCCTCTAAGTGATTGCAGCTTCCGACCTCATCCTGGGCTCTGGGGTGACGTGCCTGCTAGGCAAGGTGTCCCCACCCTCCTATGAGCTGTCCCTCCATGGACAGTGGAGGGGAGGGTGCAGGTAGAGACTCAGAGCATAAGGAGACCCTGGCCCGGGCCTGTCTGCCATCTGCAGGACATGCAGCCCCGCTCTGCTGTCTGTTGTGGGATAGCCAGGGCCGTACTGTGGTGCTTCCCATGATCACATCCACTCAGGTGTTTGCAGGGGGCCGTGGCGCCGTGATCATTTCTATTTTTAGTTTGTGGTGGTTTTGGGGGGGGGGGGGGCAGGGGCAGAATCGGCCAAAGTCACCAGCAGGCTTCAGTGTGACCTTTGGTGCCGGACTGCTGTCGTGTTTTCCAAAGTAAATACATCCCAGATCAAACACCGCTCAACTAGCTTTGTCAGCATGAAGCCCTCGTTGTGTCTTTGGTTACCACCGAGTGGCTTGTGACTCCCAGTGTTTGGAGGCCTGTCTCTGTGTGGATGAGCTTACGGGAGCAGCCAGGACACTCTGCGGCCCAGGTCTTGGTTGCATCGGGGGCGGCGGCTCTGATGCTCCCCTGGACATGGGAGGGCCCCTCTCGTGTCTTCCAGCTCCGAGTTCTTCCTCTAAGTGATTGCAGCTTCCGACCTCATCCTGGGCTCTGGGGTGACGTGCCTGCTAGGCAAGGTGTCCCCACCCTCCTATGAGCTGTCCCTCCATGGACAGTGGAGGGGAGGGTGCAGGTAGAGACTCAGAGCATAAGGAGACCCTGGCCCGGGCCTGTCTGCCATCTGCAGGACATGCAGCCCCGCTCTGCTGTCTGTTGTGGGATAGCCAGGGCCGTACTGTGGTGCTTCCCATGATCACATCCACTCAGGTGTTTGCAGGGGGCCGTGGCGCCGTGATCATTTCTATTTTTAGTTTGTGGTGGTTTTGGGGGGGGGGGTTTTTGGTCACGCCGCACTATTTGCAGGATCTTAGTTCCCTGACCAGGAATTGAACCCGGGCCCCGGCAGGAGGCGAACCCTAGCCAGCACCTAGCCCATACTTGGCACTCATAGATCATAAGCATTTGGACCGCTGAGCCCCCCTCGCTGCAGGTTGGTTAGCGCTGTGTGGGGGCTCGACCTCTGCTGGGGACTCTGGAGGGTCCACCTGTCCACCAGGCGTTGTGCACACATGTAACCGTTTTCCATACCCGAGACGCCTTCCCCTGCCACGCACTGGGTGGGACACCATGGGGACAGGGACACAGGGACTCCAGCCTCACCCCTGCCACTGAGCACTCTGCTTTTACCTGCTTCACACCCTGTGGTTCTGCCCAAGGTCACTGCCCCGCCCGCCATGGTTCCGGCCCTTGGGCCTGGTGCTCCTGTGGCCAGGCGGCTACTCCCTGTTGCCTGCCCGCCTGTGAACACCAAGCGCCCCATCCCTGGGTCCCCAGGAGCTCTGGGATGCTGCTTGCCTGCCTCCCGACGAGGCCAAAGGGCTTTTCCCTGCCAGTGTAGAGCCCGCCCCGCATACAAGAGGCTCAGGATTGTTTCTGGGCAAGCTCTCTGAGGGCTGCTGGTTACTGCCCTGTGCCCTCTCCTGCCCAGTCTGACCTGTTCTCTGAGAAGAAGCCTGGAGAATGGGTCTCGAGCTTACGCCTGTAGGTGTCAGGTTCATATGCAGGTAACCACCTTCTCTCCCTCTCTCCTCGGCCCATCAGCTCACCCGGCGGTTGCTGCCCATCAAAGAAGCGAAGCCGCGGTTGCAGAAGCTCTTCCGGGATTTCTGGCTCTATTCCGTGCTGATGGGATTTGCCGTGGAGGGGTCAGGTAGGGGACGTTTGCTGCCCCGGGGAGGACAGTGCAGAGTAAGGACCAAGATGCGAAAGTGCCCGACCTAATGGTACCTGTGCCCACGCACAAGACAGGCCCAGTGCGGCTGCCACCTCCTCAGGAAACACTTCCCGAAGTCGTTTAGGGTTCTGGGAGCACCACATACCTTAGGGAAACCTGCCCCCATTAGGAAACACACTCATTTCTATGCCACGTTTGGGACAGTGGCTCAACCAGAGGACCCACGACTCCAGAAGCTCAGCGTGGGCCCCGCCAGAGCTCTTCTCGAGCCAGGAGGCACCTCAGCCCATGCTCTCTTGCAGGACTCTGGCCGGAAGAGTGGTACGAGGGCGTCTGTGAAATAGCCACCAAGTCCCCCCTGCTCACCTTTCCCAGCAAAGAGCCCCTGCGGTCTGTCCTCCAGTACAACTCAGCCATGAAGAACGACACAGTCACCCCCGTAAGGATGCCTGCCTGCCAAAGACAGGTGGTACCGGGCAGCATTTCGGGAAGCCCTCTGGTACAGTGAGGGCCAGTCTTGCATGTCTGGTTCATGGGCACGGCCCCGGGGTTTGCATCTGGGGGAGCAGCCACGCCCACCCGTGCCCAAGCAGTCCTGGCATTCGTCCCTAGGCCGAGCTGAGTGAGCTC